TAGTAGTGCTTGCAATGTTTTGACCATTGATTTCCTAGTACTTTACAAGTACAGTAGTTTGTTGAGTCTGTCATCATAACATATTGCTCCTGTGAAATATAAGAGTTCTTTTTATATCAGATGTTCCAAACAGAAACTGCAGTAGGTTAAGCCGAAGCTTAATAAAGTGTCCTTATGATTAACCTAGATGGAATCCAGACCTCAGATACATGCAGTCTGGTTTGCTTCAGGAGAAGCAAGAACTTGCCATCCCTCATCCCATGCCTTCTCTTTTGTATACCACAGGAGATCAAGAACATCCACTTTCAGTTTTAAGTTAAACACAGTTCCTTGTGGTGTCTGGTCCCAAGTAGCTGTGGTTTGTTTTTACTATAGTTATACTAAAGTATGATGCCATCCTGGTTTTTGACCTACCGGTTGAAAACTAGAGCCTTGGAACTTGTGCAGCTCACTCATATGCAACAGTGAGAATCATTCTCCATGTTTACTCTCAAGTAAGCCTCATTGTGTTCAGCTGGACTTGCTTCCTGCTGAGTGTTAAAGTTTACAGCCTTTGAATATGGAGTTGAAAGCCCACATGTTTGTCTTCTGCTTTAATGACACTGCCAAAAGGGGATAGAATCTTGTATATTTTTAGGATTGCTTCAGTACATTTTAAGAAAAAACAGGTGGTAAGATGCTTTTGTTTCCTTTGTTAGTTATATATACATATACTGCATGGTATACATCCAGTTTATTTGAGCAAGCAGTATGAACATGTAACTTCTGACAGTGGGTGCAATCTTTGTTTAAATCTTCTTGACTTCAGTGGAATTCAGCCAGCCTAATTGCATGCATATGATTGCAACCAAGGCATTAGGAGTCAGTTCATGTTTTCTCCATTGGCACTGAGACAGCTACTGAGGGATGTAAATTCTCATTTATCTATGAATGTGACGGTGTATTGGCCATAGTACCACCTGCACCAGCATGACTTTCCGTTCATGTTGGCTGAATTCCACTGAAGCCAGGAGTTGTATATAGTTTATTTTTATTTTTTTGTTAAAGCAACAACAACAACACAAAAAATCTAATCTGTTAATTTAGAGTGCAGGCTTATAGTGCTGAAGATCCTTGTGTCCCATTTGGAATAATTTATTGGTAATGAATCACCCATCCTGAGTGCATCGCCCTCAGCTTTTGAGGGAAAGGGGCAGGATGTAGATATGATTAATAATGTGAACTGTATTTTTGTGTACTTGAAAACTTGAGAACTTCAATAAAATATATATAAATATTGGTTTTATAAAATAAAAGGCTTGAGGTTTCTCCAGGGAATGCTTTTCTGATGGGTCATGGAGCTTTCCTTTTTTTCCAGTCATATATAATTAAAGATGCATATTTCTCTAATATAAACTTTGTATATACATGTCACCTGCTTCTGCCTAATATTATACAGCAGAGAGAAATGTAAGAATGATTAGGTGTGATTTACACTTTCTTGGTGGTCTTTCTCATATTAAAATAGTGCTTTAGAGACACTGCTATATAGTAGCACTGGACAAGCAGTGCTGCAACTTCAGTCTTTATACAATTTCATTTGAGATTTTTCTTGGAACTCCAGTCTAAAACGTGTATGTTTGCATATGAAATCTCTCTTGTCACTCTACATTCCATCTTTTGAAGCCACTGCTGTCATTTAGGTTTGAAGAGAGCCTTCCCTTCTTGGATAAATGTGATAATTTCCCCTGGCTCCTTAGTTTGCAGTTCCCTTTTTGTTTTACCTTATAACAGCAGCAGATGATAAGTTCCTCCTGGTTTGAATTTAATTCTGCCTCACTTAACTAGGTCCTCCACGGGACAATAGCTCAGAGTCACATAAGCATCACTCTGTAGCCTCAGTGGCTGTTATCTGAGTAGATTCTCTCTGGGGATGCCTAAATGCTACTACTGTTGGCCCTATTGCACTACTTCCTAGGGACTTTTATTGTCAGATTCTTCACTGATTACAAGGCTGCAGGACACATCACTGACCATGTATAATGTGTTGTGATTTCTTTCTTCTACCTTCTGCCAGCCTGCGGTTTTGGTTTACAAACGGTGGCGGCTGTTGAGTTCCCATGAACCCTACTGACCACATTCACACAATTGCATCTTTGCCTATAAGGTGTGATATGAATGAGTTCATTGCTCCTTCTAGGGGCATCTACATCTTCAGTTAAGCAAAGTTTAGAACCAGCCAGGATCTTAGAGCACGGTCTGGTTTAATATCCTGGCATTATTTGATGTTGCCTGGTTTAATTGCTTGTGCTGCAAAAGGAAGAAGCAAAGGGGCTCTGTGTGGGGTGCAAAAGGCTTGTTTATCTTGGCTGATTTAGCAGAGAGAAGATTGTCTGCAATGGGGCATTATGCATGACAATTGCTTCCCTGCATTGTTTTATTTTTTGTAGACCATACAGTACATAACAATTCACAGAAAGTAGTCATGAGAACCTTCTTTCCCCCTCTCTTCTTCCTTTTGATATGATTAAATCAGGAATGACACAAATTATTTTAAATTAAATTTTAATGTTTTGCTATTTCACGACTTGACTACAAACCTATGGCCGTCCGAAGTGCAGCTCCCATCAGCTTCATCCAGGGTTGATGGGAATTACAGTCCAGCAGCATCTGAAGGGCTTCAGTTGCCCTGACTCTGGTTTACCCTGTGGACAGCATACATTTGCATTGTTAAATGCCCAGGTACACATGTCAGGAAAATCTTGACTGGATGAGGCTGTTTTGTAAATTGTGGGAACTCTTCAGAGTTGTATATGCATAGTTCATTCATTTTGCACCTCTTTAAAAATGCTCAAATAGTCAAGTAGTCACAGATGCAGCACTGTGTATACCTATGATAGTGGATAATTTACAAATGTTGGAAGCTAACAATGTTCAAAGGGCCACAGGTTCACCATTCCCATCCTAGAGGTTGTCTGCAGGGCTTTAATGGGGCATTCTTTAATGCTTTATCAGAAATCTTGCACAGAAATGTTTGGTTCAATATCCAAATCTGGTTAGTATTGATGAAGTACAGGCCATTGGGAGAGGTAATATTTGCTTGCTTACTCACTATATGATAGCATGTGTTTTGTCATACCAGACATGGGGAAGACAGACAAGAGATTATTGTTTCTGGCTGCAGTTGAAAAAAAAATGGAGTTCTCCATACTTTAGAAGTTGACATTTCTTCAGAATTCTGCCATGGTTCTCTGCTTTCAAAATATATTGCAAAAAGGTTCAGTTTTCCAAGACTTGAAATATGAGAAACTTACCATGGGTTGATTCTTTCAGAGTCATTGTGTGAGCAGAACAGCTTCCGCTCATGCAGTGGTATTTTTTCTCCCTCTCCTCCCCATCCCCTGTGCCCCCAGCACCCTAAAGCTCTGGAGGGTTGGGAGAAACTAGAAAGCAGATTTTGAGCATTGGAGTAGGAGGGGAGGAGATTTCATCACACAAGCAGAAGTTGTTCACTGGAGACAACTCCATTTGTTTATATTGTTGTTGTGTATTTCCTTTTCTGATATACTTCATTTGTGGATCTTAAGCATCAGGATACCCAGTACAAAGCTGCCATCTATTTCTAACAACATTTCATGGTCTCTACTAACACGAAGTCATTCAGAGTGGTGGATGGGGTGCAGTGTTCAGAGTGCAAACAGAATATTGGCCAAGCTACCTATAGTACCTTTTCCTTCCTCACATAACCTCTCTCATAAAGATGGGCACCTTGCTAAGGTTCCATATTCCCTTTCATTACTTGCCAAGTTGCTTGTTTTGTGATCCTACCAATCAGATGCTGTTTTAATCACCCAGTCTTTTTGTGCTGATTTCCTTTTGTTCCAGAGACGAAATGGAGAAGACATTCCTGTGGCCCTAACTAAAAACATAAATCACAGACGATTTGCTGCTACCTTTAAACTTCAGGAAGTGACAAAAACAGATCAGGATTTATATCGCTGTGTTACTCAGTCTGAGAGGGGATCTGGAGTATCCAATTTTGCTCAGCTTATTGTTCGAGGTAATTTTTTCCCCCTTTCTGATTGCTGACATCAAATGTTTTAAAAATAAAAATGTGTTTATCTTGATAATACCTTGAACTCAAGTAATATAGTGAGGAGAAGCCAATTGGACGTTGCTGGAATCCTCATGGAATAAAACAAAAGTGGCTGGTTTCTATTTGGAAAACCACAGATTATCTAAATGATATTTAATGACATAAAAATGTTTAAATATTTATTCCATGGAGTTTGCTTTGTTTTTACACCAATAGAGATGAAAACCTGACTTAAATGTTCCCATTCATTATTATTTTTCTATAGCCTTACTGTACTTAATATTGTTATGTGTACGGAAATTTCTGAGTGGTGAGAGATATCATAGTTTCCAGCACTTATCCTAGGTTTGGTTCCCCTGGAATGAAGGTCACAGGACACTGTGGTGCTTTATCACAAATTGTGCAAAGAATATAGGACGTTTCTTTTTGTACTAAAGCTGTGCATGTGCACAATACATTCAAGGTCCATCCTTCTCGCAAGGATTCTGAGAAATGTAGTTTATTCCTGACAAAGCTGCAATCTCCAAACTACAATTTCCAGGATTCTTTGGGGAGGGTTGTGTGCTTTAAATAGGCTTCAACTGTATGGTGTGTATCTCAGTTCTAGAGCAAAGTTAAGGAAATAAGATTTGTCTCCCATTGAGGAATGCTGACATTTTCAAAGTCGTCATTTCACTTTTATTTCAAGTTCTTAAAGTATTTAAAGTTTTACAAATTATATTTTGTACTATTTTATACACGCTGCTTAGAGGTTTTGTTTGATTAAGTGGTTTATAAATTTGGTCAAAACAAAATGAAAAATAAATATATTTTCAACAACTCATTGAGTTCTACCTAAGATCTTAGATTTAGGTAGGCAGCTGTGTTGGTCTGATGCAGTTGAAATACATTTTTTAAAAAAATGTCCAGTAGCACCTTAGAGACCAACTCAGTTTGTTCTGGGTATAAGCTTTTATGTGCATGCACACTTCTTCAGATACACTGAAACATATGTCACCAGACCCTTATATATTCTTCTGTTTCAGTCTATCTGAAGAAGTGTACATGCACACAAAAGCTTACACCCAGAACAAACTTAGTTGGTCTCTAAGGTGCTACTGGACTATTTATTTATTTATTTATTTATTTAGACTAAGATCTTAGAGTTATCGGCTGCATCAGCTTAAAGCTTGAGTACATAGAGTTCCTTGCTTCCCGCTATGTTTGAAAAGCCATATGCAGTGGTAATGCTTCCTTGTTTGTCTGGATAACCACCAAATAAACCTCGTTAGTCAAAAACATACCCTGGGGGATAAGCTACCCTGGTGTTAAAACTCTGCTGAAAATTAACTATAGTGACAGGTCCTATATCTCGATGGCACTTTAAAGCTGACATCCTGCTACATGGATACAAAAGATGGTAATTTTAAAGGAAATTTTTGGGCCACTGATACGAATTGCCTTTAATAAGAGCTGGCATAGTATTGCCCATTGTCAAAGATGACCCAGGGGTAAGAGTTTATTAGTGCATTTCTTCCTAAACCGAAAGTGACAGGGCATGCTTAAGGTCTTTTTGTTGCTGTTTGAAACAAATGAAAATTTCAGTGTGGAGTTCCCATGCTGAAGAGTATCGATCTACGTGTTCCCTCAGCCGCAGGAAGAAGAAAAAAGATACGATGAAATGCAATTTACTTTGTCATGTTCTGAGTATTGCTTCCATATCATTTTGAGTAATGAGAATATCTTCAGCTTGTAGAAGACAAACTTTGACAACACGGGTTATTAGTGAATGGAAGATGAATAACAGCAGCTGCTGATAAAATGTGTGTTAAAACTGGCCTTGTCTGATTGCCCGAGTACGTTAGATTGACTATATATTTAAGGTGTGCAGTTTAACAGTTACAACTGGCATGCCACTGTGGAGGATGAAAGCAGGCAGGGTAGAATTTAAAAATAAAAATATCTATTACTCTGTTGAGAGAAGCTTTGTGTTCATATATTTTTGTCTTTATTACTTGAAAATTGGAAGTTTCATGTATAAATGTCTAGAAATATGACAGAGGAGCCTGCCATGTACAGTGGTAGCTTGGTTCTTTAACTTAATCTGTTCCGGAAGTCCATTCCAAAACCAAAGCGTTCCAAAACCAAGGTACGCTTTCCCATAGAAAGTAATGCAAAATGGATTAATCCATTCCAGACTTTTAAAAACAACCCCTAAAACAACAATTTAACATGAATTTTTCTGTCTAATGAGATCACTAATCCATAAAGTGAAAGCAATAAACAATGTACTGCAGTCACACAATCAGTCAGTCAGTAGCTGAACTGGGTTCCACACAGTCACAAAAACAAAAACAAAAATGCTGCAAAAAACATACACAAAATAAATAGCAAAAACAGACAGACCTCAGCGTAACACTCAAAAACGGAAGTGTGGCACTCAAAACGGAAGCGTAACACTCAAAAAGGAGCACGTTCGGCTTCTGAAAAAAGTTTGCAAACCAAAACACACACTTCTGGGTTTCAGTGTTTGGGTCCAAGTTGTTTGAGTACCAAGGCGTTTGAGAACCAAGGTACCACTGTACTAAATCAGACCCTTTGTCCAGCCAACTCAGTATTGTCTCCACCGATGGGTGGTGGCTGTCCAGAGTTTCAGACAATAGCATTTCCCAGCATTACCTAGAGGGATTGAACCCAGAACTGTTTGGATACAAAGCAATGGGATCTACCACTGAACTATGACCCTTCCCCATTCATACAAGTTATTGCTAGCCACCATCTAGACTTGTCACTGAGACTCCTTCACATTACTGTAGTAGAGCTTAGGTGACTTATTTCATTGCATTCTTTTGACTTCACATACAAGTTTTATAGTTGAATTATGTTTACCAAAGGGGTTTGTTGGCATCTGTCTGTCTCAGGAGACAGTGGAAGACTGTGCCTTTGGAGGTCGAGTCAAACCATTGGAGAGTTACAGCTCCTGCTGTAGCTGTAGAGACGGATGCCGGAGAGACATGTTTTATTGCTGCTGCGGTAGATGAAGGTGTACAGTTTTGCTGCTAGAAGTGCACCATGGCATTTCTTCTCTCTGCATTCCTCCCAGTAATCATTCCTCATCTGGTCACTTCTGTGGATTCTATACAATGTTTATAGTTGAATTATGTTTACCAAAGGTGTGCCATGTCAATAATGCAGTGCTTGTGACCTGTGACGAGCAGAGAGTTATAGATTTTAATTGATTTCCATGCCACAGCTTTCACACTTTAGTATTTGTATAAATAGGTGTCTTATGCCATTACTCCTCCAAGGGATCTGACTAGTTTTGCATAGGGTGACAAAACTAATTAGAGTGAATAATCTCCTAAATATTCCTTCAATATCTTAAAATGAATTTGGTGCCTGGCGTTATTCTAATGATCCAGTCAAGTCCCCCCCCCAAACAACAACAACAACAAAAGGCTCTTTCTTAAGAAAGAAAAAGGCAGATATCTCTCAGGGAAATTGATAATTGATCCCTTTTTGTACCATTTGTAAATGCCTTGGAGAAGCATTGAAATTGTAAGACTGTGTGGCAGGGGTAAGGTTCATTTTCATCGACTGACATTCGCATGAAATTTCAAATATCACACCCAAAATCAAACCATGTACACATTTAGCTACTTCTGTAAAGGAAAACAGAGTATGTGTAAAAATCCATTTTATAAAAATATAATAATAACAATAACATTAATAATAATAACAGCCCCCCCATTTAACAGGCCGTATATTATTTCGTGACTGAAAGCCTGGATAAAGAGGAATGTTTTCACTGTCATCATGTAATGACGGCAGTAAGTGACCCTCTCTGGGGAGAACATTCCACAGATGGGGAGTCACCACAGAAAAGGCTCATTCAAATGTGCCCACAGAGGCCTTCCTTGGTACACACCATGTCCCCATTTCCTTTCCACTGAAATTAGACCTAGAAAGCATTCTTTTGTAGCAAATGAACTACATTGTGGTTGTGCCGTTTGTTGTGGGGGGTGTGTGTGTGCGTGCGTGCGTGTGATCCACAGCAGTTTCTCCAATTTGCAAATGTGCCTACAGGCCCCAAAAGCTTGGTGGCCCTTATTATATAGTAAAGTCCTGTGTTAATTTACCAAAACTGAGAAATTAGCTAAAAGTAACACGTTACATGCAGCACAAAAACTTTGGTTATGTAACATATATGCGACCAAGCTGCTGAATACATTGCACGACTCAAGGGCACTTAAGTGAATCTTATTCCAGATACTCAAGTCTTAGAGGGGCACTTGGCCCTCATTGACCGAGCTATGCAGGCTACTCAGATGGTGTTGTGTAACAGCCTGAACTTCCCTGCCCTGTTACTTGTGCTGCTTTACTTTTTCAGATAGTCAGCAGACTAAAATCAGAGCACAAATCCTCCAGGCTTGAGAGCCAAAACATTTCATTTGAGTGCTGCAACTCTTAGAATAAACAAGATGTTTTTACTACTAAAATTAAACTTTATATTTCTATGGCAAATTTGATTAGCGCCTTAGATACAAATCGTGTATAAGTTTGTAGGAAAATAGGATGTAGGTCCCATAAATATTTTGTAATGAAGCAAATAGCCAATTGGCTATTCATATCCAAAATGTGCTTGGTTAGGTTTTCTTGAACTGGTAAACACCAATATGTTTAAATTATTAAACTATCCTTGCATGATGTGGAAACTGTTAAATATGGCTATTTATAGTGAGAAGAGTGTTGTTTGCTTGCATTGACTGTTTAATGACCCAACCAGCACTGATGCACATACAGATACAGATTATAAGAACTGATGCAATGAAACTGTTCATTTCTGAGAACAGATTATATTAGTGCAATCCAGACATCACCATTGCTCTTTGAATTTGTATCTGTTCCTGTAAGAGTGTAGAATGTATTCATGACTTGCTCAGATTGTCCATATTTAACAAGAAATTAAGGCATGTTTATAGGTGTACTAAAGCAGAACTAAATTCCAGTTTTTTTATTGTTCTTAGATTTTGTTGCTAGCTTTGCTTCTCCCTTCCCATACTTAGGTTTGTTTAAAAAATGAGTGCTTTGGGGAAATACAGCAGGAAGGCTTTCACAGTATTTATTTAAATGATTCCTATCTGCCACTCACTGTTGGGTACAAAAGAAAAATCTACTGGGTTTGACATCTCTGTAGTGTTGTGCTGGATTGGTGAGCCGATGTATGGTAATGATGAAGAAGGAAGCCGCTTGGAATTCAACCTAGATGGTAGAAAATGCAAGATGTCAGTGAAGCCATATATTAAAGAGAATTTGAATTGGAAACAGAATCCCAACCTGCCACTGGGGGCATTTTGATCATTTTGATGTATTAAACTTTTATAGCAGCATTCAGATGAAGCTGAATTACTATACTTAATCTTGGGTGGTTTATGGTCTGCTGAGGTTTTAAAGCAGACATTGTTTGAATGAGTGAATCTGGGGTTAATAATAATTTCCCCTTATTTTTTACACTGGGTGTGTGCTGTGTGTGTGTGTGTGTGTGTGTGTGTGTGTGTGTGTAAACATCTTACAGTGTCAAATTGAATTGCTGACAACTTGAACAGCCTGAAATGTTGAATACTATGTATTGCACCTGAGATTATTTTGTTTAAACAATACTATATGTCTGTGTTTTGTGTGTTCGTGGATGTGCACCCACCGTATGCTTGTAATATTATATATTGTGTGCATGTATGTGCATCAACATAAAAAAATGCACCCATGACACATATAACATGGTGGAATAAAGAAGCAACTTTACTTTTTCCTACAGCAAAAATCTAAATTCTGTATGGTTGTCTTCTTTGTCAGTAACCACAGATGAGCTTTCCAAGTCCTGAGCACGGCAGTAAAAAGAAATCAATTACTATTAGAGTGGCACTCTAGGTTAGAGGCATTATGGGGTTCACACTTGGTTTTGCAGCAGGGAGATGATACTTAGCTGCAAATCAGGCATGATGCAAAAGATGGATGAGACAGAGTTCAAGGAGCAGTAATGTGAGGGTCCAGCACTATCTTTCCAAGCTGTCTCAGCAGCATGATGGATGGCTTGGTAGCAAGAA